ATTCAGACAATTATTATTCCCAATTGAAGCGATTCTATTGACTAAATGAAGAACATGCAAAAAAATGTTACTTCATTAATCCTAGAACACTAACCATCAATTAACGTTACACCACTATATATCATACCCAATTTTGAAAATATCAAAAAAAAAAAAAAAAAATAATTAAGTAGAAATCTTTATCTGAAATATTTTACATTCAGGCACTTCAAACTTTGTACTTTGAGTTAACATTAATAGGAACTGAAAAACATTATTTAGGTAAGAAAATCAGGTACTGAAAATCTTACTTATTATAAAACGCAGATTGTGTGTGTGTGTGTGTGTGTGTGTGTGTGTGTGTACGTTTATATATTGGATCGGATTTCCGACATTTTTCAACCGATTTCAACAAAACTTCACATGACGACGTAAAATTACCTTGCGGTGGTTCTAACAGCGCCAAAAATTGGAAAAACACAATTGTCTTTGCACGAAATCAATTTGAATACACGATTAAGAGGCATTAATAAAAGGGGGACAACTCATATCGATTTATACTTATTAATATCTAATTATACTTATTATAAAACCCAGGTTGGATGTTTGTTTGTGTGAATATGTGTGAGTGTGTGTCTGTGTTCGTTTATGTATGGGATCGGATTTCCTACATTTTTCAACCGATTTCAACAAAACTTCACTTTTTTTGGAAGGTAGTGTTTCTTATTGTCTTGCACACTTTTTTATTTATTTTTACATTCAAAATGCTTTAAAAATTCCATTTACAAGACAATTGTTTATAATAAAATTCTATTCAATCGGTAGACTCATAACGATTGAAAACAATGTTTTTGTTTGAGTTTGGGTTTGTCCAATTCGAAAAAACATAAATAAATAAATAAAATAAAATAAAACTAATTAAGACATGCGTGTCCGTCAACCTTAAACAATAATCTTTGTCAATTTTATTTTTCAGTCTTTATGATGGTCGATACTTGATCTATCTCTTACTGTTACATCCCCGGGCAACGCCGGGCTCTACTGCTAGTTATAATTAAAAATAGGAAAATTTGCGCTGGGTATATTTTACCCATGGTTAGTGTTCTTGGGTTAAAAAGAACAAAAACCTATTAAGAAAGAAGAAAGATATTAATAAATAATCAGCATAGAATAAATAACCGCTAAACGCTTTTATCATAAAACGAAACCTTAAGGAGTGTAAGATCTAAATGTTTACGGATGATATAATCTATGACGTGAAATGCTTTCACTACGGGTATTTATCAGGCAATCAAAATGCGCTGATAATTTTTAATACACACTTAAATACGTTAACATTTGAAGAACAAAAAATAAACACCAACGCTATAAGATAGACATATGACTGCTATACAACAAATGAAAACAAAACAACGCAAAATTTAAAAATTGAAACATAACTCCTGTCATTTTGCTTTCGTAAAAATTCTGTTGAAACTAAAATAAATAGAAAGATGTTAAATGTAGGAAAAATGACATAGTTGTTCAGTGTCTAAGCATTCTGTTGCATTTCATCCACATTTTCAACTCACACGCAGAGGCACGCACAGAGAGACACAAACATTCGCACACATGCATATGTTAGTATATATTTATTTATTTATTTATTTATTTAGAGAGAGAGAGAGAGAGAAATAGTATTAAGGTAGGTTCTATTTATAAATTGCTCAATATCAGAGATAGAGCTTATGCAAATAAAAGTGAATATTGAAGTCAACACTCGGAGGCGACAGACTTATTGCATTTAACATGAAACAGTCTGTCGCCTCTGAGTGTTTCAATGTTCACTTATATATATATATATATATATATATATATATATATATATATATATTCGGTTTTGAGAATGACTAAAGATGATTGAAAGTATTTGAGTATGCATGCACACAACCAAAACACACACATATATATATATATATATATATATATATATATATATATATATATATATATAGAAAAATATAGTTTTAAGGTGTACTATATATATGAGATAAAGTGCTCAATATCAGAGCTAGAGCGTATATAAATATAAAAGTTAACATTCAAGTCAACACTCAAAGACGACAGACTGTTTCCTGCTAAACGTCAGGTGTTGACTTCAATGTTCACTTATATATATATATATATATATATATATATATATATATATATAGGTAACTATACTCGGAAAAAAAACCTTCGAATTTTTGATTTGCTAATAATCAAATCAATCTCGAAGGAAAAAAAGGTTTTAAAAAAAGAAAGAGCCAGCTTTTCTTGACGATCCGCTTAGGTTAAACCTGGGTATATTTGTCTGGCTCACTAGGTTTATCTATATATATATATATATATATAAATCTCCCCCCAAGCAAGGCGATAATGCTCCTCGGAAGCAGGATGTCACAGGGAGTGAAAAGGAAAAGACAATAAGGGAAACCGGTTCAAGAATACAGAAGATAGCGATTGATATTGCATTTAATTTCTTTGAAAATTGTAGTTATCA